AGTTGACACAACATTAGTACTGAGACATCGAATTGTCAGTTCAAATCCCATAGTAGTAGAGGTATTGGAAGAATAAGCAGTGATGAAGATTAGGGTTCGAAGATATTATTCAAAAACTATCATCCGGAAAAAATAAATGTAAGCGAAAAGACGGTCATGAGGAATTCAGAAGATTGTATTTTGCGAGAACACAAAGAGTGGATGCATCTGCACCAACACAAACGGTTTTTAGTCATGTCATTCAAGGTCTCTAACCATCGATTGCGATGATCACACGAACCCCAACCAACTAGTCCACACTTACCAACATGACTCAGTCCACTTGTCAGTGACTTCATGGATTTCTGCCATGTTTTGGTTTGGCCGACCCTACCTTTCTTCTAACCTACTCCTACACCATAAAACATAGCTTGACGAGGTAGTTGGTGGTTAGGCAATCGTAACACGTGTTCCAACCACCTCAACAGATGAAGATTCACTACTTCATCAATTGATCTGCTATCCATACCTAGTACTCGTTTCCTAACAACACCATTACTTACTCGGTTTTCCCAGGATATACGCACAGTGCCTCGGAGACACCTATGACTGAATACCAGTAACCTGTGAATATCCTTTCTTCTTAATGACCGTGTTTCACGGCTAAAAAGTAGAAAGGAGCCGACCGCTGCTCAGTAAACTTGTGCTTTGGTTAGCAGACCGATATATCTCCGACGCCATTAGTGACGCAAGTTGGCAAAAGCCAATCGAGCTTTCTGTATCCGTGCTGAGATTTCGTCACAAAGTAGGCCATCAGCAGTGATGAGACTCCCAAGATAAGTGAAGCAATCAGCAAGCTCAACTATGCCCCTCGCTATCACTAGTTCAGGTGTCGATGCAACCCAATCTTGAAGCAACATTTTTCATTTCGAGGGGAAAACCGAATTCTGAACGTGCTTGGATTGTTGCTTAGAGTAGTCAGAAGACTCTGCATTTTGTTAGCGTCTTCACCGAATAGAACTATGTCATCGGTAAACTCTAAGTCAACAAACGAATCTTCTGGTAAAATTCCAACTCCTGTAAAGTCAGATCATGCACGTGACGTACCTAAAAGCAAGTCTATGGCAAAGTTAAACAAGAATATAGAAAGTGGACATCCTTAACGAACACCACTCGAGGTAACGAATTCCGATGACAGTTCGCCATAAGCTCTCACTCGACCAGTGTTGTAGGAGTAGAGAGCCTGTAGAAGGTTAATGTACCTCTCTGGTACACTTTTCAATGACAGACACTGCCACAGAACCTCACGATCAACAGACTCAAATGCCACCTTGAGGTCGAAGAATACGCCGAAATTTGTGTCTGTGTCCCAGGACTTGACGATGAATGAATATAAGGTCTATATACCCATGTCCAGGTCGGAAACTCTGATTTTCTCGAGTCTGCTCTACACGGGCTCCAGTTAGGTGTCCAAGTATTATCAAGGCTAACGTTTCAGAATGTATATTAGTTCGACTTATTCCTCTGGGACTATCATAAAACGACTTTTTTCCTTTCTTAAAGACTGGGACAATCAGTGATTCAGACCGACAAGATGAGATTATGCCCTGTTCCCAAATTCTACTAAAGATCCCAGTCAACTTCACTGCTAAATTTGGACTACCATCCTCAAAAGTCACAGAGGTGGGCCTTTAGGCCCTGCTGCTCTCCCTCGCTTCAGATTTTCTATAGCCTTTTCAACTTCATTAAGAGTCGGCAGACTTACATCATTTGATTAGTCAGAATAGTTGTATACTGTTGCCTATCACCATTGCCTTTTCCATCTCTCTTGCTTTCGCTACAATCAGAGATCCTACAGTAAAATCTGACAAACGTCCTCATCTTTGGTGTAAGTTTTGTTTCTGATCTCTCTTGACTTCCCATTTTTGTTCATTCCAAGCAAATGTTTAGCATATAAAGAGGCTGAATGGTGTCAGCACTACTCGATACTTAATTTTACGATTGTAAATTACTTTATACCTATTATCTCATACTGTTCTCTATTATTTTTCTTATACTTTTGAGTAAAGATAATGGTGTAACGTATACTGTTAAAATAGTGCGTGGTGAATCTTCGGACGTTATTATGAACACCGTTTTCGATAGATATTGAACCTCTGTAAAGAACTGTATCATCTATCAGATACAAACCATCCACTCTGTTCGTATATCCTTTTGCAATTGTACTGAACAAGGCTACTCTTGTAACTAACGCGTTGTTGTTCCTAATTAGATAAGAATCAAAGAAACATTATCCCGGATTTAAATGTGACATCATTCCAGATATAATGAAGTTATAACATTGCAAAATTTAGACGTTTTGCATGAATAGTTCAGATCAACAAAGGATATCAGATTCGACTATGTAAATAAACATTGGGAATTAACAGGTTTTAAAACCAATCGTTTAGTGTGGTATGAGTAGTTAAAGAACTTTAAAATAAGTAAACAAGTGAAAATAGTTAAATTTCAAATTCAGCAAGTATTTTAGCGCACTATTAGCTAATAAACTCAAAAACACCTATTGATTCTATTCCCAAGATTTTGATGATCAGGAAACTGAAAATGTTAAATTACTGAAAGGTTAACAAAATATACAGAAAGAAACATGTATCCTTGAGTCACACGGAATAAAATTGACTTCAAAATACACGATCTATGTGATTAGCCCATGTATTAATCGCAAAATTCTTATAATCAATAATGTAGTCTTCTGTTTTGAAATGCAAATGCTAATTAATAATGAGTAAACTTAATGCATTAAAACAATAGTTTTCAGATATGAGGTCTCTGCTAATCTTTACGGATAAACCAATTATCGGTGTTGATGAGTTGAAAATTGTTCATTGAAGATAAAATATACAATTCATATTATTATGAATATAAATTGTATATTTTATTCACAGAATCAAATATTATTGTTGAAGGGTTTTCCAATAAGCAGGTCTACTCCTTACTGTAATCTTTAATACAGTATTGTTGGTAAATACCATACCAGATGTTAGCATTTCTTGTTGACACAGAGAACTGAACAAACGGATGTAGGAAAAGTAGGGTTCAAACCAGTAACCGAGTATTTCAAATGATTAAGTCGCTGTACTCATAAATCCAGCTCAAAAATATTTTGGTGCTTCAAATAACATTGGACACCAGGGTAGCTGCATCAAAAACTTACCAGTGACATTACAGATACGGTGATCTCGTGAAATGAGGATTGTGGTTTGAAGATAGAGTTACCTGTTATATTATTAAACACTTTTAATCGTGAGACGAAAGGTATTGACGGCATATATTTGACTAATCATACATTAGTAGATTAATTTGTGTATTGCAGAATGTTAGCCATATCTATCATAATCAAAGCTCTAATGATCTGAAACATAAGCTACGTACAAACTACAATAGAATATGAAACGATCGATAGATTTATCAACTGTATGTTTCATGGTAAGACGACCAGTCTTGTTTTGGTGCTAAAAGTATGTTGAAAGTTGCACTAACTTTCTAATAAAGATCAAAAAACTATACGTTTTTGTTTTGTCTAACCCAACAAAACTATAAACACTAATTACTTTGATCAAATGTACTTTCTGGAAATAAACGAATTTTCGACTTTTAAGTGGAAAGAAGAAAAACAGAATAAGTTGCAACAATCATGTACGAAGAGTATTTAATGTTATCTTTTACATCAAGTCGTGATGAGAAACCGAACTTTTGATACTAACGTACTTACACTACAATATTATACATTAATGTGCAGTTTGTCAATCATCAATTTGCACTGAACAATTTAAGCCAGTGATTAAGTTGTATTCCACTGCAATATAGAAGTCATTATGTAGACAATTCATACACTTTGCCTGCAAAGTAATCCGAATATTTGAGAAGCCGGTAAGGGTAGAGGACATTCGTAGGTTATTAGTATTCGATTAAAGATGTCTTCGAAGCATTGCTCGTATATCGTGGGACAACCGAGTAAGCAATGCTGTTGTTAGGAAACGAATACTAGGTATGGATCGCAAATCAATAGATAAAGTATTAAACATCAATTGAGGTGGTTTGGACATGTGTTACGAATGCCTAACCACCAACTACCTCATCAAGCTATGTTTTGTGGTGTGGGATTAGGTTAGAAGAAAGGTAGGGGTGGCCAAACCAAAACATGGCAGAAATCCATGAAGTCACTGACAAGTAGACTGAGTCATGTTGGTAGATGTAGTCTACCTGGTTGGGGTCCTCGAGAAGAAAGTCACCAATGGTTAGGGACCTTGAACGACATGGCTCAAAATCGTTTGTAATGGCGCAGGTGCATCCACTCTTTGTGTTCTCTTAAATCCTAACCTTCTGAATTCTCCATTATCTCTCTTTCGCTCTCTTCAGTTATCTCACTGAATTATACTTCCCGAATCATATCTTCGAAACATAATCTTCTACATTACTGCTAATACTTCTACGATATCTACCACTCTGGGATTTGAACTGACAGTTGCGTGTTTGTGCTGATGCGTTATGGCGACCTGAACTTATGTACTCATGTACGAAGTTCTGCGTTATAACTGACTGACTGACTGAATATTTGAGAAAATTTATTCAATATTAGGTAAGTTTAAAGGATATATTTTTTAAACGTATGCTAAAGATAATTTTTCATGAATTCCTTTTTGTATCAACTCACAGGCTATCTGTAGAGATATATTTTCAGGATGTGAGTTCAATTCTTAAAAAATTATTAATCTAAGTTCACTAGGCACGAACAATGAAGCAACAGGACAAATGGTTAACATTCCACGAAAAAATATTCAGAGTATTTATTAAACTGTAATAACAATGAAAGCAACATCTACAAAAAGGAGCGATACTAATTGACAACAAATGAACATTTGATAATACGTAATAAAACACAGCTAATATGACAGATGAATAAAAAAAACCCACGCAAAGGTATGAAGTCACATACACAGATAATTTAGTAAACCAAAAGAATCGGAGTTAAACTCAAACTTTTATTTATATCAAGATAATTGATTTAAAATAAGTGTGTACAGTATAAAATTTGAGTTCAGTTTAATTTTTGTTCAATATTAGTCAATAATTCACTTAAATCTTTAAGTGAGGAACGAATCATATCTTGAACATCGATTGAAAGGAGAGATTCTTCAGCAATCTAAGGAAAATTAAAACAATAGATATAGTAAAAAATTCAATTTATAGGGATGAATTTCTAAACAACAATCAAAACAGACATTAGCGGAAATGAAAATGAAACGAAATAGCCCCAAATAAATAACATTATTTTAAAAACCATACTATTAATGAAGCCGAAAGGTATTTTTTTGTTCTAGTTGAAGTATGATAATTCAACACGAATGATATATACTATGTTCAACAGAGAAATAAGGATGAATTAGGAGTTTATACAATTAATCGAGGCTTACAAATCCCTAGACTATCACAGAAAACAGTCAACACTTACTACGTGCATATACATATTGCAGCTGTACGAATAAAGTTCACTATCGCTATAGAAACCAACTGTCCGAACATATTAAACCAATGATGAAAATAAAGAAGGCAACGGTTAAAATGAGTATGAGCTATTTGAATGACTGCTACCACGACATACCTTTATATTTAACATACACTCAATAACATTTAGTCTATCTCTTTCATATAAACTAAAATTATTGAAATAAGCTTTGATTAAAATAGTATCCATCAAAGATTTCATTGAAATGGTGCATAACTTAACAAAATTCATGTAAGATAAATGATAACGAGCGAGAATTCTGTGAATACACAAAGAACTGTGTAAAAAGTGCTGCATAACAATGTACACACGTAAATCAAAGATAAAAACAAATAAATTTCTGAGTGAAAAAGAAAATGATCGTGAGAATTTCTCATTCAACCGAGAAAAAAACTCTTTTTGAACAACATAAACAACATGAGTAAATAGAGAACACCACAAAAAGCTTTCCAAAATATTATTTTGACTTCTTCCTAGTAATTAATTGCAAATACTATGATCCAAAGGTTATAGAACATTGGCAAACAACAACCCGATACTATAGATAGTATCGCTTAATATATATGAGCTGGAAAAAAAGCCTACCTTCATTTTGGAAATTACAGATTTCAAGCTTATTCGTAGAGTGACCAAGGCTGATTGAATGAAAGCATTAAGTTGATCTTCTTCATCAGATTGATTATTATTTTTCAATTTAGGAGGATTAGTTAATAAATCAGCTAAAGCTTTTAAACCTTCAATAACAGCTTCACGTTTTTCTTTTGACTGTTCCCATGGTCCTTCACTTGGTTGTATACGACAACGATGAGCTGTTTGAAGGCATTGCACAGCCTAGCAACATATTAGAAAAAGAAAATCTAATCACAGGATGGGAAAAATTTAATGGTTATTCGTTTAGTCGTCTTACGACAAAAATAATCAGAAGTTAAACGTAATATCTTATCAGTATATGTGCACGGTAGATCTCATAAACATCAAAATTATTAGGTTAACAACCCAATAATTCAATCAATTGAACATGCATAACTATAAAGTATTTTCTTCTAAATAAAATCGAAAAACGACAAAATGAGAAAATAGTTTGAAGCTTTAGTTGTATTGCACAAAATGTGCTTAGATAACATTGGTATAATTTTATATGAAGCATTCCAAAAGAAATATTTTACAGATGAATATAATTTAGTCAGTCAATCAGTCAAATAAAATGTAGGACTTTGTACGCATATACATCAGTTCGAGTTGCCATAACACATTAGCACAAAGATCGAATTGTCAATTCAAATCCCATAGCAGTAGAGGTAGTAGAAGTATTAGCAGTAACCGGAGAGATTAGGGTTCGAAGAAATTATTCAAGAAGTATAATAATATACTTGATAAAAATGATAAGATCTTAGGGGACAATAATTAAAGGTTAAACATTTATAACAATTAACCAGGATCACAACATTATTAGCCCGAAATTTATTATGTTGTTCAAGCGTACTGAATTTTGTTTTACACATATTATAACTCAATCTTGAAGCTATTGGGTACATTTTAAGACTTAAAACTGAAACTGCAATACCAGTAATACGTATATATGTATTACAGGCGTCTTTTTATTAATTTGCTGTCACATAGTGTAAAATAATCATTTCATATGAATACTAAAAGCATGCGAAATCAATTCACCACTAAAACTGATAAAACTAAATATAATAACAAAACCCATCATTGTCAAAACGAGTCATGTGTTAAAAATGTGAAGGTGCACTCACAATGCACATACTATGATACAGGCGACAAACATGGATTTTCGTTGTTGAAGTCAAGTTATTTTCTTGTAGTAAAGTGTATTATGTAATTAATGATAATTAATATCAGATAAACGACGGCCAGAAGCATTTAATTCTCGATTAAGCTCTTGAGGAAAAAATCTTAAGTTTCCATATAAAAAGTTATGGAAAAGTAGAACCATCAATGATATTAATCAGAAAAATACAAAGATTTAAATTAACAGTAACTTTTCAAATAAAAAAGAAAGGATAATCAACTGAAGAATAGATAAAACATTTTCACAAATATTTTCCTTGGTAATGTCTTACATTACATACTGATTACATATCAGAATACAAAAGTTATTAATTATAAAACCTGATTGGGATTAATTTCGGTGCGTCATTTCACGCTCTTAAAATACGTTTACTTTGAAAATTCAACATGGGAAGTTTATGACTCTTTTTTTTCTAGCATACCAGAATGTAAACAACTGCTGATTGCTTTTAAGATTGAAACTAAACGGCATAAAACGTTTTATTCATCACTGTGACTCTTAGTTTGTTGAAGATATCAACCACTAAAACTTTTTAAAGAATCAAATAAATCAAGACAGTAATTTACCACCGTTTTATATATACATATGGCTTTTTTCGTCATTGATATTAAGAATTGGACTTGACCAGTTTTTGTAGGCGAATGTGCACTGTGGGCGGACTACTTTGATATCGTTAGTCAGTACAAGTTTTAGTAAAGCTAGGTTGTAGCTAGGAATGAAAACTGAGATCAGTGTTTCATACTATCTGGAAATGACTCAAAAGTAAGCGACGATATAGAAGTTAGGCATTTGCACGAGAGACCGAAGTTTTTCACTTGCGAGGTCAGAGGCGCACCTGTCTGGTGAGTCCCATACTAAGCTGTTCAGTGCTTCTGGGTTTTCATTAGTAATATAACATGGATAATTCCAATAAAAGTATCCTTTAGATTTAGAAGAAAACGAGTGATAATTTGTACAATTCACATTTTAATAGAGTCAGCCTAAAAACCGTGACCATGTTAAACAGGAGCTGGAAATGCTTTAAAAAATTAATTTTACTTACACGTTGATATGTGATATAAGTCATTTGAGGAGTTTCATCAACCAGAAGATGAGCATATTCATCCCATATGGCGGCATCGTTAGGAGTCTATTGGGTAATAAAATAACTCGTAATTAAAAAATAACAATAGAGTTCTACTAGTTATAATGATAACTGAACAAGTATCCATCACACTTTTTGTAATGGTGACTAAAATGAAGTTTTATAGAGTGATTTGAAATTTCTAACATTTTAAATTGAATAAAATCAATTTCAGGCAATTTTCAGATGAATATTTTGTAAACAAAAGTCAAAGAATCTGATTTCTGACCACTAGGTTTAGAAATTAGAAACATGATCCGCATATCTCCGGTCTAGGTCTAGACAATTAGATAATATTAATAGTCCTCTCAAAAATGAACGTGTTAGAAACTTAAGTATACGAAAATGTAAATAATCACTAAGTTATTATTACTTAGTTTCCATGCAAATTTATAACAAATGATATTTACAGTGAAACTAATATTTCTTTTTATCACTATCTCAGTGTTTGATGCTTTTACTTTGGTGAATTTTTTACCATTAAAACTATAGAAAGTAACATAATTTTCAAAAAATTTAAAAAAAGGATTATTCAGTGATTAAATCATAATCATTCTAAGATTTACGATAACTATAACATGTATTAACTTATTATACATTCAAATTACACATTTAGTCAATATAACTTATTGAAATATCTTACAGATGCTGTAACTCGACCAAATAGTTCAAGTAACTTATTACGTATATTACTTGTAGGGTTTCCTGTGGAATCCATTTCATTTAAAATAATACTTTTGACCATAATACCGAGAACTTGTGCATTTGCATACTTTCCTTGTAAATCTAACAGCCGATGATAGGCCTGTATAGTATCTTGAAAAGCTTTCACATCAGAACTAATCTGTAATGAATACAATATCAACAAGAATTATATCACCATTATGTAACTAAATCAGTAACAATAAAAAGATACTGAACAAATAAGTAAGAGGGAATAAATGAAACAATATTGTGTGTAAGTGTTAAGCAGTAGTCAGATAATATATATCACTTCACTCATATCCATGTATTTGAATAAGTGATTGGGAATTGATCAGCTACTAACCCTGCTAGCACATATTAATGACTAAGATTATAATATATCAAACATTTTACACTGAATTAATATAAAAAACTTCCTCTTGTTTATTTTGCATATTCAATCGTGTAGTTAGTTGATGAAATCAATCAAGTAGAAACAGGTTGCTACGTCGTTTTGTTATACATAGGTAAAAAACAGATCTTAACTACACAAGATTGATAAAATCTAATAGAATATAAATAACTGAAGTTATCTATTAAATGCATGAATTAATCAATACTGAAAATAATCAACAACAAAAATTAAAAAGTAATTAATTGCAACAATATATATATATATATATATATATAATTCATGTAGAAATCGATGAACTCACCAAGAGAATATTTTCCCATAAACGCCAGTTTTCATAACTATATTTACAAGCTTCTTTCATTAGTTTTAATGCTATATTCCTATACAGAAATTCAAAGATATTAAAATCAATATATTAATAATTTGTGAACTGGATAGTATTTGTTGACAAGCCAAAAAGCATACGATACTACACATTATAGGAGATAACATTTTACGTGTTATTCTACAAGAAATTCCTTAATAAATAGTTTCTGAGCTTCTAATAAAGAACTATCATCAGACAGGATGTATAAGTAAAAATGATATTAGAGATGGTCTGCTATGTTCTGTAATGAAACTATCAACTCGAATACTATGACACATTTATTTACTCAGTTCTTAATAGACAGGTAGTGAAGTGACGAAAATGAAAAAAGGCGTACGTGATTCATAAACATACTTTTTTCCTTGTAGCAGGACAGCAGTAGCACAATTACTCCAAGCTTCAAAATTCTAAAATAACAAACAAAAACGCCTGTTAAAAACTGTTGACTAATAGAAAGCACGTTTTTAATCGACTATTTCAGCAAAAACACGTCAGCAGTCTGCCAGTCATTTACAACGCAGAACTACGTACGTACGTACATCAGTTCAAGCTGCCATACTACATTAGCACAAAGACCGAATTGTCAATGCAAAACCTACAGAAGTAGAGGTAGTAGAAGTATTAACAGTAATCGAGAAGATTAGGGTTTGAAGTCATGATTCGAGAAGTATAATTCAGTGAGATAACTTTGGGAAGAGAAAGATAGAGGAGATGAGGAATAAAATGGATTAGGATTTCAAAGAACACACAGAATAAATGCACCTATGTAATCGCAAATGGTTTTCAGCCATGTCATTCAAGATCTCTGACCATCGATGACTATCATCTCGTGAATCCCAACCCGACAGTCCACACTTACCGACATGACTCAGTCCACTTGTCAGAGACTTCATGGATTTGTGCAATGTCTTGGTTTGGCCGACCCTACCTTTCACCCAACCTACTCCTACACCACAAAACATAGCTTGACGAGGTAGTTGGTGGTCGGGCATACGTAACACATGTCCCAACCATCTCAACTGGTGAAGTTTCAATACATCATCTGTTGATCTGCTATTCCTACCTAGTACTCGATTCCCAACAGCATTGCTTACTCGGTTGTCCCAAGATATAAGAGCAATGCTTTGCAGACACCCTTGATCGAAAACAAGCAACCTACGAATATCTACTCTTAATGGCCATCTTTCGCATCCATATAGTAGGACGGAGCAAACTGCTGCGAAGTAAACTCGTCCTTTCGTTAGCAAACGGATATCATATCTCCTATGCCATAAGTGACGCAGGTTGGCAAAAGCCAATCGATCCTTCTGGATCTGTGCCGAGATTTCGTCACAAACCAGGCCGTCAGCAGTGATGAGACTCCCAAGATAAGTGAAGTAGTCTACATACTCGACTACTTCACTCCGTATCATTAGTTCAGGTGCCGATTCAACCCAATCTTGAAGCAATATTTGGCATTTCGAGGAGGAAAACCGCATCCTGAACATGCTTGCATTATTGCTTACGGTAGTCAGAAGACGCTGGATTTTGTCACCGTCTTCACCAAGTAGAACTGTCATGGACATATCCTAAGTTAACGAGCGAGTTTCATGTTAAAAGGTCCTATTCGGTAGATGCTACTGATATCAACCGCTTCTCCGTACCTTTATGGTTTACCTTACTGGCAGATCACCGCAATTTCCACAGCCTTTTTGATATCATCCCAAGATGCCTCAGGGTGGGCTCCTGAAATATATTCTTGGCTATTCTATCATTAGGTAAAACCCTGAGAAATTTTATTGAGCTATCCTTCCTACGCCAAGTAGGCCGCAAAAAAACACACCCTAGCACTAGAGCAAGGTCTGAATCTGAACAAGTGCTCCAGAATGAGCGGCAGACTTCTATTGAGCCTCTACACCGATGGTTGACAGCAATGTAGTCTAGTTTGGACCAGCGCTGGGGTGTCGCCATATAAAGAGATGTCTTTGTTTATGCTTAAAGTTAGTGTTTGCTAGGAATAAACGATTGTCTGAGGATAGTTGCAGCAAACGGTCACCATTATCTGATCTTTGAGCCCCGACACCATAAGTTCTACCCAGGTGTCTTTCCTTTTCACCTAGTCTACCCACTTGAGCATTAAATCCGCCCACCATTATTACTAGCAAGGCGCCTAACTTTATGGAGGAGGTCCGAAAGCTTTCTGTAAAACTCATCTTTCACATCGTCTGAACTGCATTCAGTGGGAGCGTAGGCAGATACGACGAAGAGGCAACGGCGAGTTTTCCTATCTTTACGAGTCCGTACTGTCCTCTTTAGTCGGACAGCGCATAAGCGACTGTCTACTGGGATCCAGTCTAGGAGCGCTAGTTCCGCCCAACAACTTGATACTATACATACGCCAGCGGCGCCACGGGAAGCAGCATCAGGGCTATCAGAAACACGAAGCGTAAACTTTGTTGTGTCTTTGTCTGCACTAGGTGAAATCAAGTTGATGATTTCACTCGGATCTTGTATGCGTATTTCAGATACGTAACACACATTGGTTGCACGGGATTCCAGAGTTCTAGCTAATGAAGCCTGTTGCCCTATTCGACTCAAGGTTGACAGAAGGTGATGTGTGACATTCTTAGGGTCGACCTTTTCTAACCCTTCCTTCCTTACGAAAAAGCAGCATCGCCGCAGATGCCAGTTGTCTGAAGGAAACACCTTACTGTTGTCACACCCTTCTAAAGACAGCAGTACGACTTTGCCCTTAGGTTGTTGCTATTAATCTTATCGTTCGCCAATCGACCTGCCTGGCATGGTAGAACCTACAGGAAATTATGTTCCAGACAATGTAGCTCAGTAGGGTCATCACGACAGACAAGCCCGACCACTACGTCAGGGTAGCAGCTACCGTCGGCACACGTCATGATTACTTGAACAATGCCAATTTCTACCATTTATTTGCTGAATGAAAGAAGTCAGACCTGATTTATATATATATATATATATATATATATATATATATATATACTTTGATATTCTCAACAAGAACACTCTTACTTTGTTTGATGGTCGCCAGTTTTGAAACAAAAGCATCAAAGTTCAAAAATAGATCAGTTAACTAATTGTATGAAAACTTTTGCGAGTGCTAATCGCTCCACCGATACTTACAATAATTATCGTCTAAACGAGAAAAGTACTTTTTGATCAATTACTTTGGGCATAAGAACCTATTCTTGTACAACTATTAGACTTTTATTATGAACCATAACTTTGAGTAGTTTGTTCATGCAATTTTACATAAGAAAGTAAAACCGTAAACCGTCCAAAATTTTACAAAGGTCTAAATGGTACAAACAAACTCAACTCCACTGCATATGATAGCTAGGTTCAATAAACCATGGTTGATTATATTTAGCACAAAGAAAATTGTCTAAATTTTACAGGCAGATTTCTAAATATACGAAAGTGGTTTGATGGTTAGAATAATTGAATTTCACCCAAGCTCGGACGGAATTTTACTTATTTCATTGAAGGTGATTGAGTTGCATCGCTAGACTTGACATAAGAAATTTAAATCAAACAAATGTACACAAGTCTGCATTGTGTTACATAGATAAACTTGGCACGATAAAGTGAAATTTTGTAATTGATTATAAGTAAAAAGTAACTTACATCTGGATCTAAACGAACACACGAACGAAAAGCATTTTCTGCTTTTATATACTCTTTGGCTTGAAGACAACAGCATCCAAAAGTGAACCATAGATTAACCTATGAAAATTCATATTATAGATTTTAAACTGTTATACAGTGTTTAGGTAATACAGTTGATACTGTAATTTTATTAAAAGTATTCAGGTTATGAGAAAAACAGTATCGACAAGAGTAAAAAACTTTTACATTGACAGTGGTGGACTAACTTCCTTATCTAGGCAAAGTATGTTTTTAAGATTCAGGATTTGTAAGCGAATTCACCCAAAGTTTATAAATAATTGAATAATTCTTTCCTTTGGTCTTAATCGACAGTTGAATCTCGATGGATAATTACGATGAAGTTTTGATTGGGTTTACTGTGATCACTTTTGAGAACAACTGAAATTATTCTGATACGAAAGGAATCGACTGTGACTGGTAGGATAGGGTCATTATAGAATATATACTGGAATCAACAAAGGAGTGAAATGAGCAACCGATTGTTCCAAAAATTACTATACGTGACTTAAGCTACTCATAAATTTTAGGTAGTCTAATAAATATTTCTGTAATTTGTTGCTGAAAAGATGGCTGATAATCTTTTGTATACTGATCATATTGCAACAGAAGGATATTTCTTCGGAACATTTTTTAGTCAAATCTACCTTGACTATCGAAACAGTAGACAGAGCAGTCAATACAACTGTAGTATCTCCACATACACTTGAGTTTGTTCATATTTTATTTGCTTAAGCCTCTTGGTTAACTTATTTAACTGAGCCATTTGTACGCCAATAACTTATACGTACCATTGGCTTTTATTATTGTTGGGTTTTTTATGAGCAAGTATGACCGAACATTACTTACTGCCTACGTGCATATTCATTCTATTTGCTTTAATGTTAGCACTTGAATATTTTGATGACTGAGACATTTTCCGATATATATATAAATATATATATATATATATATATATATATAAATATATATTAATCTTATTCATTCATTTGCTTGCTTGCCGTTCGGGACTCGCATACTATTTTTACTTCGTGCGCCAAGTAAACGTATTCGACACTAAATATTCCTCTTTTGATTTACAAACCATGAGGCGTTATTTAGTAACGGTTGTCTGGTTGTCAGCATACGAAGTCTAAGAACATATCGAATACCGACCGCCACGGAACTACTGAGGTACCGGCCACCACATAACCATATAACCTCAATGATCAATGTTATATCCTGCAGGATCAATATCCTACATCATGCCAGTGTACATAGAAATACAACCAGAGAGATAAATATGAAAGAAATTTAAAACAGTGATTTGTTAAAAACCAAATTTGTATAAAACGAAGTATATTATTCAAGAAATAAGATGTTAAATGAGAAGAATTGAGTGGTTATCGTATTTGGAGAAAGTATACAAGTATGAAGTTGTCGAGGTATTTTTTAATGGATTATCATAAGAATTAAACAACTAGACATGGAAACCACAGTTAACTGTAAAACTGTGAATGATTGGGACGAATATTGATTTATAAATCAAAATAAATGAATGAATTTGAGTTCTCACTAGAAACAACTGAAAATATTTATTTTATGATAATTTATTTTATTCAAATGAGTTGGTAAGCAAATAAAATGTGATAGATTTATAATGGACTTACCTGCATATTGTTAATTTCTAAGGACTTTTGAAAGCATTCGATTGCATTGGTATAGTCCTAAACAAGTTATTGAGATATATTTGATAGTATGGAAAATTTCAGACAAACTTTATCTGTGTACATATATATAACAGCTAGGCTGCGCATTGCTCGAGCTGACTTACAACCAGATATATCCCACGCCTTTAAATAGTGTTGGCGATCATTTGTCACATCACCAAGAGCACAATATAAATCAGCAGATTCATCTCCAGCATTTAGACGAGAACGAATGACTTCTTCAGCCTGATTATATTGATAAAAAAATATATGATTGGCAAAGAATAAATAAAATGTTTCATGACCAAAAAATTAACACAACTAGATGGAATGAAACCAATATAACAAATCTAAAATAATTTTACTTACTTCAAGAGCTAACGTATACAGTTTGGGAAGATAATTTCGGAAATATTAAGGTTTTTTCGGACTATATATACATCTGAATAACACACACACTTTTAAGCGATGATACTGTTGAACAGTCAATCAGTCATCAATCAACAGCAACGTAGAACTTCGTACGTACGTACATCAGTTGAAGTTGCTATACCACATTCAAATCCCATAGTAGTAGAGATAGTAAAAGTATTAGAAGTAATAGGAGAGATAAGGGTTCGAAGACGTTATTCAAGAAGTATAATTCAGTGAGGCAAATTTAGAAACAGAAAGATATTGGTGATGAGGAATTGAGAAGGTTAGGATTTGACAGAATACAAAGAATGTATCCACCTGCGCCATTGCAAACGGTTTTGAGCCGTGTCATTCAGGGTCTCTAAGTTGAACAGTACATAGTTTACTGAGTTATTCTTTTGATAACTGAATGGACTAGGATCTTAAAATATCCCACAATGTAGAAAACATAAAAAGCTATAATTCCAACATTATGATTTCATTTGTGAATAACTTTCAGCCATAAATTGCTGCTGATTTTCCATCCAGTATGATTGTCGTACACACTGCCAGTGTTAATATTACTCAAATGAAACAGACAATAGTACGATAGTGATGTATTTGTGATTTTTCCAAACGAGAAGGATTCAAAATCTCAACTCAATGAGATATCACGAATACATCATCAGTATTTTACCTAATGCTCAATTTATTTGAAATTATAAGGTCATATCTTGGCAGTGATAGCTTAAAACATAATGGTTGTATTGTGGAGTATTTCCAGATTGCCGTCTGTGTGATAGGATATAAAAAGAGCAGTGACTGTTTCTAATAAACAGCATATTTTTATATTAGGTAAATAATACATAGAAACCGTCAACGAAGAAATAAAACATACCTTTTCTCTTTTGTTTAAACGAGTGTAGCATTCAATTATTTCAGACCATTTGTCCCATAACAGAAAACTGTCTAGAGCACTTTTGAAACATCCTATTTTCATAAGCAGTCGACCTTGTTCAATCTGAAAGAAAAGATTTAATTTGAAAACTAAGAAACATCTCCATTTTTATAATTTCTACAAGTTTATTTGGAATGTAAAACGTACATAAATCAACAAACTGATATAACCTACCATTGTTACATAATTCTTCATGAAAAAACATACACATTGCGTATCTCCATAATTTTGTTAGTCGTTTCCTGAACGATCTATCGGAAAAAATTAAAGACCTTAAACGTTCGATTTGTAAGGACTTGATACGTCAGGAAGTGTTTGAATCTCAAACTACTTTGAGAGTCACTTAAGTCTTGCTGTTATCAAAAATAATTAGATATATGAAAAACAATTATAATTCACCAACAACTTTACGCTTATCTAGAACTCAAAGTTACTGGCGTTCTAGAAATCTACTGGGTAGGAAGTGAACTATCATCAAATAATTTGCAACGCGATGCAAAAGTACTGGTTTCGAGATACCTGAATAAGTTAACCTAAGTAATCAGAGAAAGCAGTTTTCTCCAAGTAGCGGAATATGTATACTACGAAAAAAACAAGGAAATGAACCGAACATTTACGTAAAATAATAAAAGGTAGACACAACTTAGAATATCAAAACAAAGTATCTAGACATAATCAAGTAAAACTACGCTTTGACTTGTTATAATATAAAACGTAACTATAAAATGAATAATGTGATAAACGGGCCCTAGCAATCAAATCAAATCCTTTCTACACCTCCTAATAACCCGCTTATCTCTTTGACCAACTCTTCCTTCGATTGTTTGTCACCTCGCGCCGCTGAAACAAACGGTTTGCACTCACGAAACATTATTCCTAGTATCCTAAAACCCCGTACTAAATAAGATATAGGAGCTTTTAATGTTCGGACCCTATGCCAAATAGGGCAACAGGCTTCAATAGCTAGAACTCTGGAATCCCGTGCAACCAATGTGTGTTACGTGTCTGAAATGCGCATACAAGATCCGAGTAAAATCATCAACTTGATTTCACCTAGTGCAAATAAAGACACAACAAAGTTTACGCTTCGTGTTTCTGATAGCCCTGATGCTGCTTCCCGTGGCGCCGCTGGCGTATGTATAGTATCAAGTTGTTGGGCAGAACTAGCGCTCCTAGACTGGATCCCAGTAGACAGTCGCTTATGCGCTGTCCGACTAAAGAGGACAGTACGGACTCGTAAAGATAGGAAAACTCGCCGTTGCCTCTTCGTCGTATCTGCCTACGCTCCCACTGACTGTAGTTCAGACGATGTGAAAGATGAGTTTTACAGAAAGCTTTCGGACCTCCTCCATAAAGTTAGGCGCCTTGATAGTAATAATGGTCGGCGGATTTAATGCTCAAGTGGGTAGACTAGGTGAAAAGGAAAGACACCCGGGTAGAACTTATGGTGTCGGGGCTCAAAGATCAGATAATGGTGACCGTCTGCTGCAACTATCCTCAGACAATCGTTTATTCCTAGCACACACTAACTTTAAGCATAAGGAAAAACATCTTTTGACTTGGCAACCCCCAAAGTCGTCTCAACGCTGGACCCAACTAGATCACATCGCAATCAGCCACCGATGGAGAGGTTAAATAGAGGACTGTCGTTCTGGAGCACATGTCTGGATTCAGACCGTGCGTAATTGTTTGCGACTTAGTGGGCATAGGAAAAACGCTGCAAAGAAACCTCTTGGGGTTCTACTTAATGATAGCAGAGCTACGAATATATTTCAGGGACAATTAAAAAAACAATTAGGCGGCAATGTAAGTGATTTCCATTCTGAGGCAGGTTGGAATGATATCAAAAAGGCTGTGGAAATAGCACTGATATCCGCTAGGTTAGGAATGAGCCATCGATCTCGTTGCATCTACCGAACTGACAGATGCTGGTAAACTCATCCCACTTGGCTCTGAACATGATTAAGAGCAAAGTTAGCTTAAGCGTAAGCTGACAAAAAAGCCTAGGCAATGATCACGGACAGTGGTGGGTAACAAAAGCGAGAGAGATGGAAAAGGCAGCGGTGATAGGTAACAACAGACAGTTGTTCCGACTTATCACGGAAACCGGTATTAGGAATCCGAATGTGAGTGAAACTTTCTCGCGAAAGGAAGAGACTGTTATTCATTCTCAATCCGGGAGATTGGATCGATGGGCACAACACTTCAGGAATCAGTTCAACTGGCCTTCAGCCACACTTTGGTTGCCCGTTATCTCCAGTCACCCTAAATGGCAAATCGACATAAGTCCTCTGAGTCTTAACAAAGTTGAGAAAGCTATGGGAAATCTGAAGAGAGGGAGCGCAGCGGATCCTGATAGACTTACCCCTGAGATTTATGAGGATGGTGGCCTAGTTTTAGCAGTTAGATTGACCGAGATCTTAGGTAGAATTTGGGAACTGGGTGTAATCCGATCTGACTGGTCTCAATCATTGATTGTACCAATTTATAAGAAAGGACAAAAGTCATTTTGTGACAGTCACAGAGTTATCAGCCTAACTAATATAGTATCTAAATTTCTAGCCTCAGTAATACTCCGATGCTTGACGAAAGCTCGTGAAGAGCAAATTAGAGACAACCAGGCTGATTTCCGAGCTGGACGTGGTTGTATGGACCACATCTTCACACTACGACAGGTCCTAAAATAAAGACACGTTCAGACACCAAACAATAGTAGTATTTCTCGACCTTAATGCGGCATTTGACTCTGTCGATTGTGAGCTTCTGTGGCAGTGTCTGTCATCAAAAGGTGTACCAAAGAAGTAGATTAACCTTATACAAGTTCTCTACTCGAACACCACTGGTCGAGTGAGAGCCTTGGCGAACTATCATCGGAATTCTTTACGTCAAGTGGTGTCCGTCAGGGCTGTCCACTCTCCTCATTCCTGTTTGACTTTGTCGTATTCATGCTTCTATAGTTAACATTATCATCGTCAGACACGCTCATTGACTTGGAGTATGCTGATGAAATAGTTCTATTCGGTGAAGAAGATGACAAAATGCAGAGTCTTCCGACCATCCTAAGCAACAATGCCAGCATGTTTGGGATGTGGTTCTTCCCATTGAAATCCAAAATGTTGCTTTAAGACTGGGTTGAATCGGCACCTGAACTAATGATACGGAGTGAAGTAGTCGAGTATGTAGACTACTTCACTTATCTTGGGAGTCTCATCACTTCTGACGGCCTGGTTTGTGACGAAATCTCGGCACAGATGCAGAAGGATCGATTGGCTTTTGCCAACCTGCGTCACTTATGGCATAGGAGATATGATATCCGTTTGCTAACGAAAGGACGAGTTTACTTCGCAGCAGTTTGCTCCGTCCTACTATATGGATGCGAAAGATGGCCATTAAGAGTAGATATTCGTAGGTTGCTTGTTTTCGATCAAGGGTGTCTGCAAAGCATTGCTCTTATATCTTGGGACAACCGAGTAAGCAATCCTGTTGGGAATCGAATACCAGGTAGGAATAGCAGATCAACAGATGATGTATTGAAACTTCACCAGCTGAGATGGTTGGGACATGTGTTACGTATGCCCGACCACCGACTGCCTCGACGAGCTACGTTGTGCGATGTAGGAACAGGTTGGAAGAAAGCCAGGAGCGGCCAGACCAAAACATCCATGAAGTCACTGACAAGTGGACTGAGTCATGTCGGCAGGTGTCGACTACCTGGTTGGGGCCCGTGAGATGATAACTGATGTACGTACGTAGGTACGAAGTTCTACGTTGTTGCTGATTGATTGAGCAATATTACGAGTAAAGACAGCTGATACTATTCGAAGAAATTGTGGGTACTTTAAGCTGAAAGCATGAACACGTTGATGAAATCCTTATCAATACAAACTATACAATAGCCAAAAACACCGTACATATGCTGATATTGTTTGCCTTAACAATTATTACACTTTAGCTTATGTATCCATTTGATCAAACTTAAAAATTCAGTTGGTTATAGCTGATGTAAGTCATAAAATGGTGATTTAAAACTATAGAGTATGATTGGTAAAAATCTACACAATCTGGATTTGTCTGTCGACAAAAAAATTAAATGAAATGGATATAATCGTATACATAAGCCACTTACTTCGAGAGTCCAAATAGAAGGCATTCTGGAAAGAAAGAAGCTACTGGGAGATCTTTCAGAAAATGATGGACTAGTTCGTTTAAACTGAGAGCATAACTCCTAAAATAAGTCAGTTGATAAATTCTGATTGAAATTACAGTAAAATTCTTACCTCTAGTTGAGATAATGCACGCTCAGTTCTTCGAACAGAATTATGTTCGAGTAAACTTCTTCTATACAGTGTTTCTGTGGCAATGGGCCACGAAGAACTGCTTTTCGTTCCATTTTCAGAATCTGGGTAAACAGCTCGGATAACAGTATTGATGTATGCTAAACACTGTTGCTCTGTTAAATCGTCTCGTGGGTAGTGACGACGATGAAGTTCACTAACCGAGTGTACATAAAATTTATAAAAATGATCTTACCACAATAACAAAATGAAAGACTGCTCTGTATTTGAAAGAACACTTTGTTCATTGAAGTCACTAAATATGACACTATTGAGAAGTACATCATCACTAAGAGAAATTATCTAAACGGAATCTAACTTAAGGTAAAATAAAATTACCTGAGGCAATGGATAGTTAAATGACGTTTTGCCGTCTTTATTTTCGATCTTTCTGCTAACCGTAACCGTGAGATTTGCAACTTCTTTCTCCTGGAATCTGGTGCGTTTACCTAGGACACCTATTGATTTTTTTAAATACATGTGACGTGTTTACCATTAAATTGTACATCAATATTTAAATACTGAGCGCATCTGGAAGCGAAGGTTTTTGAGGCCTCATATTCATAATAAAAAACGCTCAGATATGATGCTATCATTAAATACTGAATGACGTCCTCATCAGAGTCAGTAGAATCAAGATATTCCTCACCTACAAAGTGGCTGTATTAAATAACCGAGTCACGTACAGACATTGGTAATATCTTGAAATTCACTTTTTAGTTTGGGTGACCTTTCATCACCAATTAGGTACTGATGCAAATAAACGCATTTCAAGTAGTTTAAATAATAAAGGAATGACTGAAACAAAAGCATGATTAGCAAACACATTTTATATACAAGAGTTTGAGAAACTGTAGACATTTTCCGGCATAAGCGTTTACACAGCCAAAATAAACTAAGTGACTTAGTAAGTCTGAAAGGATGTTCGCCTTCACAGCACAAATCTTCTAACGCCAACTGGTAGCATCCATCAAATTCATTAAACTCATCAACCAAACCGCCTATAAAATTCACCGCAACAAAATACGTCATAGCATAGTCGATTATCTGTAAGACGGAAACAGATCTGGATGTAAAGTATAGGTAGTGAATGAACATACCGTTCCAGTAAAATATTGATTAGCGAATCATCATCCAACTCTGATAAAGGGATATCTGAAAAGATCTTCTTAATGTAAGAAATACAATCAATGGGAGAATAGGTCTTTTCACTGTTTGCGTCCATAATTGTAATGTCTACCAAAAATTAATAGGAATTGGAATAAATAAAAAATTGAAGACTAAAAGTCTTAAGGCAACAAAATGTTTTATATAGATAAAGCTATAAAAATTATGGAATTTGTTTATGAATTCTTAATCCTCAAAATGAAGAAAGACGAAGACCTACAGTAAATGAAACATAATAGCTTATGTGATATTTCTTTAGAAAAATATCACATAAGCTATTAGATCATTACACTGTTCCATTTTACTGTAGGTCTTCGTCTTTCTTCATTTTGAGGATTAGGAATTCATAAACAAATTCCATAATTTTTGTAGCTGTATCTATATGTATATAAAACATTTTGTTGCCTTAAGACTTTTAGTCTTCAATTTATTCTTCATTCCAATTCCTATTAATTTTTGGTAGACATTACAATTATGGACGCAAACAGTGAAAAGACCTATTCTCCCATTGATTGTATTTCTTACATTAAGAAGATCTTTTCAGATATCCCTTTATCAGAGTTGGATGATGATTCGCTAATCAATATTTTACTGGAACGGTATGTTCATTCGCTACCTATACTTTACATCCAGGTCTGTTTCCGTCTTACAGATAATCGACTATGCTATGACGTATTTTGTTGCGGTGAATTTTATAGGCGGTTTGGTTGATGAGTTTAATGAATTTGATGGATGCTACCAGTTGGCGTTAGAAGATTTGTGCTGTGAAGGCGAATATCCTTTCAGACTTACTAAGTCACTTAGTTTATTTTGGCTGTGTAAACGCTTATGCCGGAAAATGTCTACAGTTTCTCAAACTCTTGTATATAAAATGTGTTCGCTAATCATGCTTTTGTTTCAGTCATTCCTTTATTATTTAAACTACTTGAAATGCGTTTATTTGCATCAGTACCTAATTGGTGATGAAAGGTCACCCAAACTAAAAAGTGAATTTCAAGATATTACCAATGTCTGTACGTGACTCGGTTATTTAATACAGCCACTTTGTAGGTGAGGAATATCTTGATTCTACTGACTCTGATGAGGACGTCATTCAGTATTTAATGATAGCATCATATCTGAGCGTTTTTTATTATGAATATGAGGCCTCAAAAACCTTCGCTTCCAGATGCGCTCAGTATTTAAATATTGATGTACAATTTAATGGTAAACACGTCACATGTATTTAAAAAAATCAATAGGTGTCCTAGGTAAACGCACCAGATTCCAGGAGAAAGAAGTTGCAAATCTCACGGTTACGGTTAGCAGAAAGATCGAAAATAAAGACGGCAAAACGTCATTTAGCTATCCATTGCCTCAGGTAATTTTATTTTACCTTAAGTTCGATTCCGTTCAGATAATTTCTCTTAGTGATGATGTACTTCTCAATAGTGTCATATTTAGTGACTTCAATAAACAAAGTGTTCTTTCAAATACAGAGCAGTCTTTCATTTTGTTATTGTGGTAAGATCATTTTTATAAATTTTATGTACACTCGGTTAGTGAACTTCATCGTCGTCACTACCCACGAGACGATTTAACAGAGCAACAGTGTTTAGCATACATCAATACTGTTATCCGAGCTGTTTACCCAGATTCTGAAAATGAAACGAAAAGCAGTTCTTCGTGGCCCATTGCCACAGAAACACTGTATAGAAGAAGTTTACTCGAACATAATTCTGTTCGAAGAACTGAGCGTGCATTATCTCAACTAGAGGTAAGAATTTTACTGTATTTTCAATCAGAATTTATCAACTGACTTATTTTAGGAGTTATGCTCTCAGTTTAAACGAACTAGTCCATCATTTTCTGAAAGATCTCCCAGTAGCTTCTTTCTTTCCAGAATGCCTTCTATTTGGACTCTCGAAGTAAGTGGCTTATGTATACGATTATATCCATTTCATTTAATTTTTTTGTCAACAGACAAATCCGGATTGTGTAGATTTTTACCAATCATACTCTATAGTTTTAAATCACCATTTTATGACTTACATCAGCTATAACCAACTGAATTTTTTAAGTTTGATCAAATGGATACATAAGCTAAAGTGTAATAATTGTTAAGGCAAACAATATCAGCATATGTACGGTGCTTTTTGGCTATTGTATAGTTTGTATTGATAAGGATTTCATCAACGTGTTAATGCTTTCAGCTTAAAGTACCCACAATTTCTTCGAATAGTATCAGCTGTCTTTACTCGTAATATTGCTCATTCAATCAATCAATCAGCAACAACGTAGAACTTCGTACCTACGTACGTACATCAGTTATCATCTCACGGGCCCCAAGCAGGTAGTCGACACCTGCCGACATGACTCAGTCCACTTGTCAGTGACTTCATGGATGTTTTGGTCTGGCCGCTCCTGGCTTTCTTCCAACCTGTTCCTACATCGCACAACGTAGCTCGTCGAGGCAGTCGGTGGTCGGGCATACGTAACACATGTCCCAACCATCTCAACTGGTGAAGTTTCAATACATCATCTGTTGATCTGCTATTCCTACCTAGTACTCGATTCCCAACAGCATTGCTTACTCGGTTGTCCCAAGATATAAGAGCAATGCTTTGCAGACACCCTTGATCGAAAACAAGCAACCTACGAATATCTACTCTTAATGGCCATCTTTCGCATCCATATAGTAGGACGGAGCAAACTGCTGCGAAGTAAACTCGTCCTTTCGTTAGCAAACGGATATCATATCTCCTATGCCATAAGTGACGCAGGTTGGCAAAAGCCAATCGATCCTTCTGGATCTGTGCCGAGATTTCGTCACAAACCAGGCCGTCAGCAGTGATGAGACTCCCAAGATAAGTGAAGTAGTCTACATACTCGACTACTTCACTCCGTATCATTAGTTCAGGTGCCGATTCAACCCAATCTTAAAGCAACATTTTGGATTTCGATGGGAAGAACCACATCCCAAACATGCTGGCATTGTTGCTTAGGATGGTCGGAAGACTGCATTTTGTCATCTTCATCGAATAGAACTATTTCATCAGCATACTCCAAGTCAATGAGCGTGTCTGACGATGATAATGTTAACTCTAAAAGCATGTATACGACAAAGTCAAACAGGAATGAGGAGAGTGGACAGCCCCGACGGACACCACTTGACGTAAAGAATTCCGATGACAGTTCGCCAAGGCTCTCACTCGACCAGTGGTGTTCGAGTAGAGAACTTGTATAAGGTTAATGTACTTCTTTGGTACACCTTTTAATGACAGACACTGCCACAGAAGCTCACAATCGACAGAGTCAAATGCCGCATTAGGGTCGAGAAATACTACTATTGTTTGGTGTCTGAACGTGTCTTTATTTTAGGACCTGTCGTAGTGTGAAGATGTGGTCCATACAACCACGTCCAGCTCGGAAATCAGCCTGGTTGTCTCTAATTTGCTCTTCACGAGCTTTCGTCAAGCATCGGAGTATTACTGAGGCTAGAAATTTAGATACTATATTAGTTAGGCTGATAACTCTGTGACTGTCACAAAATGACTTTTGTACTTTCTTATAAATTGGTACAATCAAGGATTGAGACCAGTCAGATCGGATTACACCCAGTTCCCAAATTCTACCTAAGATCTCGGTCAATCTAACTGCTAAAACTAGGCCATCATCCTCAAAAATCTCAGGGGTAAGTCTATCAGGATCCGCTGCTCTCCCTCTCTTCAGATTTCCCATAGCTTTCTCAACTTTGTAAAGACTCAGAGGACTTATGTCGATTTGCCATTTAGGGTGACTGGAGATAACGGGCAACCAAAGTGTGGCTGAAGGCCAGTTGAACCGATTCCTGAAGTGTTGTGCCCATCGATCCAATCTCCCGGATTGAGAATGAATAACAGTCTCTTCCTTTTCCGAGAAAGTTTCACTCACATTCGGATTCCTAATACCGGTTTCCGTGATAAGTCGGAACAACTGTCTGTTGTTACCTATCACCGCTGCCTTTTCCATCTCTCTCGCTTTTGTTACCCACCACTTTCCGTGATCATTTTTGTCAGCTTACGCTTAAGCTAACTTTGCTCTTAATCATGTTCAGAGCCAAGTGGGATGAGTTTACCAGCATCTATCAGTTCGGTGGATGCAACGAGATCGATGGCTTATTCCTAACGTAGCAGATATCAGTGCTATTTCCACAGCCTTTTTGATATCATTCCAACCTGCCTCAGAATGGAAATCACTTACATTGCCGCCTAATTGTTTTTTTAATTGTCCCGTGAAATATATTCGTAGCTCTGCTATCATTAAGTAGAACCCCAAGAGGTTTCTTTGCAGCGTTTTTCCTATGCCCACTAAGTCGCAAACAATTACGCACTCATTAGAGCATGGTCTGAATCCAGACATGTGCTCCAGAACGACAGTCCTCTATTTAACCCCTCCATCGGTGGCTGATTGCGATGTGATCTAGTTGGGTCCAGCGTTGAGACAACTTTGGGGGTTGCCAGGTCAAAAGATGTTTTTCCTTATGCTTAAAGTTGGTATTTGCTAGGAATAAACGATTGTCTGAGGATAGTTGCAGCAAACGGTCACCATTATCTGATCTTTGAGCCCCGACACCATAAGTTCTACCCAGGTGTCTTTCCTTTTCACCTAGTCTACCCACTTGAGCATTAAATCCGCCCACCATTATTACTAGCAAGGCGCCTAACTTTATGGAGGAGGTCCGAAAGCTTTCTGTAAAACTCATCTTTCACATCGTCTGAACTGCATTCAGTGGGAGCGTAGGCAGATACGACGAAGAGGCAACGGCGAGTTTTCCTATCTTTACGAGTCCGTACTGTCCTCTTTAGTCGGACAGCGCATAAGCGACTGTCTACTGGGATCCAGTCTAGGAGCGCTAGTTCCGCCCAACAACTTGATACTATACATACGCCAGCGGCGCCACGGGAAGCAGCATCAGGGCTATCAGAAACACGAAGCGTAAACTTTGTTGTGTCTTTGTCTGCACTAGGTGAAATCAAGTTGATGATTTCACTCGGATCTTGTATGCGCATTTCAGACACGTAACACACATTGGTTGCACGGGATTCCAGAGTTCTAGCTATTGAAGCCTGTTGCCCTATTTGGCATAGGGTCCGAACATTAAAAGCTCCTATATCTAATTTAGTACGGGGTTTTAGGATACTAGGAATAATGTTTCGTGAGTGCAAACCGTTTGTTTCAGCGGCGCGAGGTGACAAACAATCGAAGGAAGAGTTGGTCAAAGAGATAAGCGGGTTATTAGGAGGTGTAGAAAGGATTTGATTCGATTGCTAGGGCCCGTTTATCACATTATTCATTTTATAGTTACATTTTATATTACAACAAGTCAAAGCGTAGTTTTACTTGATGATGTCTAGATACTTTGTTTTGATATTTTACGTTGTGTCTACCTTTATTATTTTACGTAAATGTTCGGTTCATTTCCTTGTTTTTTTCGTAGTATACATATTCCGCTACTTGGAGAAAACTGCTTTCTCTGATTACTTAGGTTAACTTATTCAGGTATCTCGAAACCAGTACTTTTGCATCGCGTTGCAAATTATTTGATGATAGTTCACTTCCTACCCAGTAGATTTTTAGAACGCCAGTAACTTTGAGTTCTAGATAAGCGTAAAGTTTAGGGTGAATTATAATTGTTTTTCATATATCTAATTATTTTTGATAACAGCAAGACTTAAGTGACTCTCAAAGTAGTTTGAGATTCAAACACTTCCTGACGTATGAAGTCCTCACAAATCGAACGTTTAAGGTCTTTAATTTTTTCCGATAGATCGTTCAGGAAACGACTAACAAAATTATGGAGATACGCAATGTGTATGTTTTTTCATGAAGAATTATGTAACAATGGTAGGTTATATCAGTTTGTTGATTTATGTATGTTTTACATTCCAAATAAACTTGTAGAAATTATAAAAATGGAGATGTTTCTTAGTTTTCAAATTAAATCTTTTCTTTCAGATTGAACAAGGTCGACTGCTTATGAAAATAGGATGTTTCAAAAGTGCTCTAGACAGTTTTCTGTTATGGAACAAATGGTCTGAAATAATTGAATGCTACACTCGTTTAAACAAAAGAGAAAAAGTATGTTTTATTTCTTCGTTGAAGGTTTCTATGTATTATTTACCTAATATAAAAATATGCTGTTTATTAGAAACAGTCACTGCTCTTTTTATATCCTATCACACAGACGGCAATCTGGAAATACTCCACCATACAACCATTATGTTTTAAGGTATCACTGCCAAGATATGACCTTATAATTTCAAATAAATTGAGCATTAGGTAAAATACTGATGATGTATTCGTGATATCTCATTGAGTTGAGATTTTGAATCCTCCTCGTTTGGAAAAATCACAAATACATCACTATCGTACTATTGTCTGTTTCATTTGAGTAATATTAACACTGGCAGTGTGTACGCCAATCATACTGGATGGAAAATCAGCAGCTATTTATGGCTGAAAGTTATTCATAAATGAAATCATAATGTTGGAATTATAGCTTTTTACGTTCTATACATTGTGGGATATTTTAAGATCCTAGTCCATTCAGTTATCAAAAGAATAACTCAGTAAACTATGTACTGTTCAACTTAGAGACCCTGAATGACACGGCTCAAAACCGTTTGCAACGGAGCATGTGGATACATTCTTTGTATTCTGTCAAATCCTAACCTTCTCAATTCCTCATCACCAATATCTTTCTGTTTCTAAATTTGCCTCACTGAATTATACTTCTTGAATAACGTCTTCGAACCCTGATCTCTCCTATTACTTCTAATACTTTTACTATCTCTACTACTATGGGATTTGAATGTGGTATAGCAACTTCAACTGATGTACGTACGTACGAAGTTCTACGTTGCTGTTGATTGATGGTTGATTGACTGTTCAACAGTATCATCGCTTAAAAGTGTGTGTGTTATGCAGATGTATATATAGTCCGAAAAAACCTTAATATTTCCGAAATTATCTTCCCAAACTGTATACGTTAGCTCTTGAAGTAAGTAAAATTATTTTAGATTTGTTATATTGGTTTCATTCCATCTAGTTGTGTTAATTTTTTGGTCATGAAACATTTTATTTATTCTTTGCCAATCATATATTTTTTTATCAATATAATCAGGCTGAAGAAGTCATTCGTTCTCGTCTAGATGCTGGAGATGAATCTGCTGATTTATATTGCGCTCTTGGTGATGTGACAAATGATCGCCAACACTATTTAAAGGCGTGGGATATATCTGGTTGTAAGTCAGCTCGAGCAATGCGCAGCCTAGCTGTTATATATATGTACACAGATAAAGTTTGTCTGAAATTTTCCATACTATCAAATGTATCTCAATATCTTGTTTAGGACTATACCAATGCAATCGAATGCTTTCAAAAGTCATTAGAAATTAACAATATGCAGGTAAGTTCATTATAAATCTATCACATTTTATTTGCTTACCAACTCATTTGAATAAAATAAATTATCATAAAATAAATGTTTTCAGTTGTTTCTAGTGAGAACTCAAATTCATTCATTTATTTTGATTTATAAATCAATATTCGTCCCAATCATTCACAGTTTTACAGTTAACTGTGGTTTCCATGTCTAGTTGTTTAATTCTTATGATAATCCATTAAAAAATACCTCGACAACTTCATACTTGTATACTTCCTCCAAATACGATAAACACTCAATTCTTCTCATTTAACATCTTATTTCTTGAACAATATACTTCGTTTTATACAAATTTGGTTTTTAACAAATCACTGTTTTAAATTTCTTTCATATTTATCTCTCTGGTTGTATTTCTATGTACACTGACATGATGTAGGATATTGATCCTGCAGGATATAACATTGATCATTGAGGTTATATGGTTATGTGGTGGCCGGTACCTCAGTAGTTCCGTGGCGGTCGGTATTCGATATGTTCTTAGACTTCGTATGCTGACAACCAGACAACCGTTACTAAATAACGCCTCATAGTTTGTAAATCAGAAGAGGAATATTTAGTGTCGATTACGTTTACTTGGCGCACGAAGTAAAAATAGTATGCGAGTGCCGAACGGCAAGCAAGCAAATGAATGAATAAGATTAAGATATATATATATATATATATATATATATATATATATATATATATATATAGGAAAATGTCTCAGTCATCGAAATATTCAAGTGCTAACATTAAAGCAAATAGAATGAATATGCACGTAGGCAGTAAGTAATGTTCGGTCATACTTGCTCATAAAAAACCCAACAATAATAAAAGCCAATGGTACGTATAAGTTATTGGCGTACAAATGGCTCAGTTAAATAAGTTAACCAAGAGGGTTAAGCAAATAAAATATGAACAAACTCAAGTGTATGTGGAGATACTACAGTTATATTGACTCTTCTGTCTACTGTTTCGATAGTCAAGGTAGATTTGACTAAAAAATGTTCCGAAGAAATATCCTTCTGTTGCAATATGATCAGTATACAAAAGATTATCAGCCATCTTTTCAGCAACAAATTACAGAAATATTTATTAGACTACCTAAAATTTATGAGTAGATTAAGTCACGTATAGTAATTTTTAGAACAATCGGTTGGTCATTTCACTCCTTTGTTGATTCCAGTATATATTCTATAATGACCCTATCCTACCAGTCACAGTCGATTCCTTTCGTATCAGAATAATTTCAGTTGTTCTCAAAAGTGATCACAGTAAACCCAATCAAAACTTAATCGTAATTATCCATCGAGATTCAACTGTCGATTAAGACCAAAGGAAAGAATTATTCAATTATTTATAAACTTTGGGTGAATTCGCTTACAAATCCTGAATCTTAAAAACATACTTTGCCTAGATAAGGAAGTTAGTCCACCACTGTCAATGTAAAAGTTTTTTACTCTTGTCGATACTGTTTTTCTCATAACCTGAATACTTTTAATAAAATTACAGTATCAACTGTATTACCTAAACACTGTATAACAGTTTAAAATCTATAATATGAATTTTCATAGGTTAATCTATGGTTTACTTTTGGATGCTGTTGTCTTCAAGCCAAAGAGTATATAAAAGCAGAAAATGCTTTTCGTTCGTGTGTTCGTTTAGATCCAGATGTAAGTTACTTTTTACTTATAATCAATTACAAAATTTCACTTTATCGTGCCAAGTTTATCTATGTAACACAATGCAGACTTGTGTACATTTGTTTGATTTAAATTTCTTATGTCAAGTCTAGCGATGCAACTCAATCACCTTCAATGAAATAAGTAAAATTCCATCCGAGCTTGGGTGAAATTCAATTATTCTAACCATCAAACCACTTTCGTATATTTAGAAATCTGCCTATAAAATTTAGACGATTTACTTTGTGCTAAATACAATCAACTATGATTTATTGAACCTAGCTATCATATGCAGTGGAGTTGAGTTTGTTTGTACCATTTAGACCTTTGTAAAATTTTGGACGGTTTACGGTTTTACTTTCTTATGTAAAATTGCATGAACAAACTACTCAAAGTTACGGTTCATGATAAAAGTCTAATAGTTGTACAAGAATAGGTTCTTATGCCCAAAGTAATTAATCAAAAAGTACTTTTCTCGTTTAGACGATAATTATTGTAAGTATCGGTGGAGCGATTAGCACTCGCAAAAGTTTTCATACAATTAGTTAACTGATCTATTTTTGAACTTTGATGCTTTTGTTTCAAAACTGGCCACCATCGAACAAAGTAAGAGTGTTCTTGTTGAGAATATCAAAGTATATATATATATATATATATATATATACATATATATATAAATCAGGTCTGACTTCTTTCATTCAGCAAATAAATGGTAGAAATTGGCATTGTTCAAGTAAGGATGACGTGTGCCGACGGTAGCTGCTACCCTGACGTAGTGGTCGGGCTTGTCTGTCGTGATGACCCTACTGAGCTACATTGTCTGGAACATAATTTCCTGTAGGTTCTACCATGCCAGGCAGGTCGATTGGGGGTTAATAGCAACAACCTAAGTGCAAAGTCGTACTGCTGTCTTTAGAAGTGTGTGACAACAGTAAGGTGTTTCCTTCAGACAACTGGCATCTGCGGCGATGCTGCTTTTTCGTAAGGAAAGAAGGGTTAGAAAAGGTCGACCCTAAGAATGTCACACATCACCTTCTGTCAACCTTGAGTCGAATAGGGCAACAGGCTTCATTAGCTAGAACTCTGGAATCCCGTGCAACCAATGTGTGTTACGTGTCTGAAATGCGCATACAAGATCCGAGTGAAATCATCAACTTGATTTTACCTAGTGCAGATAAAGACACAACAAAGTTTACGCTTCGTGTTTCTGATAGCCCTGATGCTGCTTCCCGTGGCGCCGCTGGCGTATGTATAGTATCAAGTTGTTGGGCAGAACTAGCGCTCCTAGACTGGATCCCAGTAGACAGTCGCTTATGCGCTGTCCGACTAAAGAGGACAGTACGGACTCGTAAAGATAGGAAAACTCGCCGTTGCCTCTTCGTCGTATCTGCCTACGCTCCCACTGACTGTAGTTCAGACGATGTAAAAGATAAGTTTTACAGAAAGCTTTCGGACCTCCTCCATAAAGTTAGGCGCCTTGATAGTAATAATGGTCGGCGGATTTAATGCTCAAGTGGGTAGACTAGGTGAAAAGGAAAGACACCCGGGTAGAACTTATGGTGTCGGGGCTCAAAGATCAGATAATGGTGACCGTCTGCTGCAACTATCCTCAGACAATCGTTTATTCCTAGCAAACACTAACTTTAAGCATAAAGAAAGACATCTCTTTATATGGCGACACCCCAGCGCTGGTCCAAACTAGACTACATTGCTGTCAACCATCGGTGTAGAGGCTCAATAGAAGTCTGCCGCTCATTCTGGAGCACTTGTTCAGATTCAGACCTTGCTCTAGTGCTAGGGTGTATTTTTTTGCGGCCTACTTGGCGTAGGAAGTATAGCTAAATAAAATTTCTCAGGGTTTTACCTAATGATAGAATAGCCAAGAATATATTTCAGGAGCCCACCCTGAGGCAGGTTGGAATGATATCAAAAAGGCTGTGGAAATTGCAGTGATCTGCCAGTAAGGTAAACCATAAAGGTACGGAGAAGCGGTTGATATCAGTAGCATCTACCGAATAGGACCTTTTAACAGGAAACTCGCTCGTTAACTTAGGATATGTCCATGACAGTTCTACTTGGTGAAGACAGTGACAAAATCCAGCGTCTTCTGAGTACCGTAAGCAATAATGCAAGCATGTTCAGGATGCGGTTTTCCTCCGCGAAATGCCAAATATTGCTTCAAGATTGGGTTGAATCGGCACCTGAACTAATGATACGGAGTGAAGTTGTCGAGTATGTAGACTACTTCACTTATCTTGGGAGTCTCATCACTGCTGACGGTCTGGTTTGTGACGAAATCTCGACACAGATCCAGAAGGATCGATTGGCTTTTGCCAACCTGCGTCACTTATGGCATAGGAGATATGATATCCGTTTGCTAACGAAAGGACGAGTTTACTTCGCAGCAGTTTGCTCCGTCCTACTATATGGATGCGAAAGATGGCCATTAAGAGTAGATATTCGTAGGTTGCTTGTTTTCGATCAAGGGTGTCTGCAAAGCATTGCTCTTATATCTTGGGACAACCGAGTAAGCAATGCTGCTGGGAATCGAGTACCAGGTAGGAATAGCAGATCAACAGATGGTGTATTGAAACTTCACCAGTTGAGATGGTTGGGACATGTGTCACGAATGCCTAACCACCAACCACCTCATCAAGCTATGTTTTGTGGTGTAGGAGTAGGTTGGGTGAAAGGTAGGGTCGGCCAGACCAAGACATTGCACAAATCCATGAAGTCTCTGACAAGTGGACTGAGTCATGTCGGTAAGTGTGGACTGTCGGGTTGTGATTCACGAGATGACAGTCATCGATGGTCAGAGATCTTGAATGACATGGCTGAAAACCATTTGCGACTACACAGGTGCATTTATTCTGTGTTTTCTTTCAAATCCTTATCCATTGGATTCCTCATCTCTATCTTTCTCTTCCCAAAGTTATCTCACTGGATTATACTTCTCGAATCATGACTTCAAACCCTAATCTCGATTACTGTTAATACTTCTACTACCTCTACTTCTGTAGGTTTTGCATTGACAATTCGGTCTTTGTGCTAATGTAATATGGCAGCTTGAACTGATGTGCGTACGTACGTAGTTCTGCGTTGTAAATGACTGGCAGACTGCTGACGTGTTTTTGCTGAAATAGTCGATTAAAAACGTGCTTTCTATTGGTCAACAGTTTTTAACAGGCGTTTTTGTTTGTGATTTTAGAATTTTGAAGCTTGGAGTAATTGTGCTACTGCTGTCCTGCTACAAGGAAGAAAGTATGTTTATGAATCACGTACGCCTTTTTTCATTTTCGTCACTTCACTACCTGTCTATTAAGAACTGAGTAAATAAATGTGTCATAGTATTCGAGTTGATAGTTTCATTACAGAACATAGCACACCATTTCTAATATCATTTTTACTTATACATCCTGTCTGATGATAGTTCTTTATTAGAAGCTCAGAAACTATTTATTAAGGAATTTCTTGTAGAATAACACGTAAAATGTTATGTCCCATAATGTGTAGTATCGTATGCTTTTTGGCTTGTTAATAAATACTATCCAGTTCACAAACTATTAATATATTGATTTTAATATCTTTGAATTTCTGTATAGGAATATAGCATTAAAACTAATGAAAGAAGCTTGTAAATATAGTTATGAAAACTGGCGTTTATGGGAAAATATTCTCTTGGTGAGTTCATCGATTTCTACATGAATTATATACATATATATATATATATATATATATATATATATATATATTGTTGCAATTAATTACTTTTTAATTTTTGTTGTTGATTATTTTCAGTATTGATTAATTCATGCATTTAATAGATAACTTCAGTTATTTATATTCTATTAGATTTTATCAATCTTGTGTAGTTAAGATCTGTTTTTTACCTATGTATAACAAAACGACGTAGCAACCTGTTTCTACTTGATCGATTTCATCAACTACACGATTGAATATGCAAAATAACAAGAGAAAGTTTTTTATATTAATTCAGTGTAAAATGTTTGATATATTATAATCTTAGTTATTAATATGTGCTAATAGGGATAGTAGCTGATTAATTCCCAATAACTTATTCAAATACATGGATATGAGTGAAGTGATATATATTATCTGACTACTGCTTAACACTTACACACAATGTTGTTTCATTTATTCCCTCTTACTTATTTGTTCAGTATATTTTTATTGTTACTGATTTAGTTACATAATGGTGATATAATTCTTGTTGATATTGTATTCATTACAGATTAGTTCTGATGTGAAAGCTTTTCAAGATACTATACAGGCCTATCATCGGCTGTTAGATTTACAAGGAAAGTATGCAAATGCACAAGTTCTCGGTATTATGGTCAAAAGTATTATTTTAAATGAAATGGATTCCACAGGAAACCCTACAAGTAATATACGTAATAAGTTACTTGAACTATTTGGTCGAGTTACAGCATCTGTAAGATATTTCAATAAGTTATATTGACTAAATGTGTAATTTGAATGTATAATAAGTCAATACATGTTATAGTTATCGTAAATCTTAGAATGATTATGATTTCATCACTGAATAATCCTTTTTTTTTAAATTTTTTTGAAAATTATGTTACTTTCTACAGTTTTAATGGTAAAAAATTCACCAAAGTAAAAGCATCAAACACTGAGATAGTTACATAGAAGTGATAAAAAGAAATATTAGTTTCACTGTAAATATCATTTGTTATAAATTTGCATGGAAACTAAGTAATAATAACTTAGTGATTATTTACATTTTCGTATACTTAAGTTTCTAACACGTTCATTTTTGAGAGGACTATTAATATTATCTAATTGTCTAAACCTAGACCGGAGATATGCGGATCATGTTTCTAATTTCTAAACCTAGTGGTCAGAAATCAGATTCTTTGACTTTTGTTTACAAAATGTTCATCTGAAAATTGCCTGAAATTGATTTTATTCAATTTAAAATGTTAGAAATTTCAAATCACTCTATAAAACTTCATTTTAGTCACCATTACAAAAAGTGTGATGGATACTTGTGCAGTTATCATTATAACTGGTAGAACTCTATTGTTATTTTTTAATTACGAGTTATTTTATTACCCAATAGACTCCTAACGATGCCGCCATATGGGATGAATATGCTCATCTTCTGGTTGATGAAACTCCTCAAATGACTTATATCACATATCAACGTGTAAGTAAAATTAATTTTTTAAAGCATTTCCAGCTCCTGTTTAACATGGTCACGGTTTTTAGGCTGACTCTATTAAAATGTGAACTGTACAAATTATCACTCGTTTTCTTCTAAATCTAAAGGATACTTTTATTGGAATTATCCGTGTTATATTACTAATGAAAACCCAGAAGCACTGAAAAGCTTAGTATGGGACTCATCAGAGAGGTGCACCTCTGACCTCGCAAGTGAAAAACTTCGGTCTCTCGTGCAAATGCCTAACTTCTATATCGTCGCTTACTTTTGAGTCATTTCCAGATAGGATGAAACACTGATCTCAGTTTTCATTCCTAGCTACAACCTAACCTTACTAAAACTTGTACTGACTAACGATATCAAAGTAGTCCGCCCACAGTGCACATTCGCCTACAAAAACTGGTCAAGTTTAATTCTTAATATCAATGACGAAAAAAGCCATATGTATATATAAAACGGTGGTAAATTACGGTCTTGATTTATTTGATTCTTTAAAAAGTTTTAGTGGTTGATATCTTCAACAAACTAAGAGTCACAGTGATGAATAGAACGTTTCATGCCGTTTAGTTTCAATCTTAAAAGCAATCAGCAGTTGTTTACATTCTGGTATGCTAGAAAAAAAAGAGTCATAAACTTCCCATGTTGAATTTTCAAAGTAAACGTATTTTAAGAGCGTGAAATGACGCACCGAAATTAATCCCAATCAGGTTTTATAATTAATAACTTTTGTATTCTGATATGTAATCAGTATGTAATGTAAGACATTACCAAGGAAAATATTTGTGAAAATGTTATATCTATTCTTCAGTTGATTATCCTTTCTTTTTTATTTGAAAAGTTACTGTTAATTTAAATCTTTGTATTTTTCTGACTAATATCATTGATGGTTCTACTTTTCCATAACTTTTTATATGGAAACTTAAGATTTTTTCCTCAAGAGCTTAATCGAGAATTAAATGCTTCTGGCCGTTGTTTACCTGATATTAATTATCATTAATTACATAATACACTTTACTACAAAAAAATATCTTGACTTCAACAACGAAAATCCATGTTTGTCGCCTGTATCATAGTATGTGCATTGTGAGTGCACCTTCACATTTTTAACACATGACTCGTTTTGACAATGATGGGTTTTGTTATTGTATTTAGTTTTATCAGTTTTAGTGGTGAATTGATTTCGCATGCTTTTAGTATTCATATGAAATGATTATTTTATACTATGTGACAGCAATTTAATAAAAAGACGCCTGTAATACATATGTACGTATTACTGGTATTGCAGTTTCAGTTTTAAGTCTTAAAATGTACCCAATAGCTTCAAGATTGAGTTATAATATGTGTAAAACAAAATTCAGTACGCTTGAACAACATAATAAATTTCGGGCTGATAATGTTGTGATCCTGCTTAATTGTTATAAATGTTTAACCTTTAATTATTGTCCCCTAAGATCTTATCATTTTTATCAAGTATATTATTATACTTCTTGAATAATTTCTTCGAACCCTAATCTCTCCGATTACTGCTAATACTTCTACTACCTCTACTGCTATGGGATTTGAATTGACAATTCGATCTTTGTGCTAATGTGTTATGGCAACTCGAACTGATGTATACACGTACAAAGTCCTACATTTTATTTGACTGATTGACTGACTAAATTATATTCATCTGTAAAATATTTCTTTTGGAATGCTTCATATAACATTATACCAATGTTATCTAAGCACATTTTGTGCAATACAACTAAAGCTTCAAACTATTTTCTCATTT